TGTATTTTAGTTCCAGGCATAGAGATTTTGCACTTTCCATCATTAAAATTTTTGTTTTAGGGACTGGAGCAATAGCACAACGGGTTGGGCATTTGCCTTGCACGCGGCCAACTTGGGTACAATTCCCAGCATCCCATATGCTACCCCGAGCACCTCCAGGTGTCATTCCTGAGTGAATGAGCCAGGAGTAACCCCTGTGCATCACCAGGTGTGGCCCAATAAGCAAAAAAAAGTTTTTAAAAAATCATCTGTACAGCCAGGTTGATGATTCAAAATTCAGGAGTGCATGCTTTACATGTGTAGTCCCAGGTTTGATCCTTGGCACTACCTGGTCCCCAGAGAATAATTTATATAATTTTATTTATATATGTGTATATAATGTACATGTATATATACATAGTATATAAACACATGTATAATATATATATGTGTGTGTACATATATGTATATATATATATATGGAATGTGCTTCTATGGGTGGGAGTGATAAATCACTTCATCTCTGCAGATTCATGTCATTATTTTGATGGTCATTTTATATTTTCACGTTGTGAAGCTCTTGAATAATCCTCCATCAAGTCCACAGTGATAATATATTCATTTCCATGTTACTTGCAAATCTATTTGAAACCTTCCTATGGTATTTATTCTTTTAATTTGGGGGCCAATAATCTCTATTTCCTGATTTAGACATCTTCCACTAACATTAAGAGGGTGTTAAAATTCACAACAATTCTCTATGACTTTTGATATTGATTGCAGGTATTAAGTGAGATTGTCTTAGCACAGTACTATTCCTTCTATACAGTAGCTGCTCCTATCCTTATGTTCTTCCCAAGCATCTTTCACATTTAGTCCCACCACCATTATCTGTAAACCTCCAAATCCTCCTTTGCACAGATACTTTGATCAAATTTTTTCCATTTCATACTTCACAGGGAATTATAAACATATCTATGTGTGTGGTTCTCCCTTATGATGGATTATTTTAATGGGGTGAGGGGTTAAATATGGGGAACCTTTTTTAATGAAGCAAAGTAAGTTTTATTTAAAGAAATTTTGAGAAATGTGAGAAAGATATGTATTTAAGAGAGAACATGGTCTTCTTCAGAGATTAAATTGTCTATTTAATAAGGGGATATATTAAGTAGTTACCTAAAAAGCACATGTTCCTGAAATCAGTGGTAGAGGCAAGAGATAAAGTGAAAAACCATGGGTTCCAATATAAATATCATGGGCAAGATCAGTTTGTGCAACTTAGATATGAATATTTATAATGTTCTATGCTCTCTTGGTGGTGGGGAAAACATATTCCTTCCTGAAAACAAAATTTGTGTCACTCAAGGATCTGTTCTCAGATACAAGTGCAAGTGAAAGTTTTTCTAAGACCAAATTACTCATGCGTCTTCTCTTCATTATATACTTTGCTTCAATTTAAGTTTGAAGTGTAGAAGGTAGGAACCAGCGTGAATTTTCTTCTGTAATTCCAACTAGTATAGATTATACAGATTGTTTATCATGCTATGAGATGAAATACCACTTTTAGGTCACTGAATAATGTATAACACTGTCTAATATTTAAAAATGTTCCTACAATTTTATCTCAATCACTTGTGAAAGAACTCATTTTTTTCTCCCCATAAATGACTGTTTATTAAGAATGGGGAAAACTATAGTTCTGAGTGTTTCACAAAATCTACAAGAAAGTCTGGTTAGCTTAAGACCATCTCTGATGTCCTGAAAAAGAGGGGTTGGCTTTCACAGTTTTCAAAGTATCATAAATAAGGAGAGAATGTAGCCCAACCTATTTCAAAAAACGAAATATAGAATTCAATAAATTCTATGCACTCTCTTCATTCATTTTTCCACTCCCATCTTGCCATTTTCACCATGAAAGTGTCCTTTCAAAACCCAGATTGGGAATAAGTAGTAAACCAAAGGGCCAGGGATGACAGTGTAAAGGTAACTTTAGCATTCTGGGTGAAAAAAACCCAATTTGTGTGTAGCTTTTACTTGCTTGCAATAACAAACTCCCTCAAGCAACACTGATTAATTGGCATAAGAAGAAGGGTACAAAGGGAACATCAAAGGACATTACAAAATGCTGACCAAAAGGCGAATTATCTGCTTTGGGTGGCCATCATTTCATCTCTCAGAACCAGGAGATTAAAAAACAATGCAAAGCCTTTAATATAGGCTGCCTGAACATAAAGGGACAAATTAGAAAACATGGTCTGTATTGTTGTCTTAATACTTTATAATGACATTACATACTTAAGGCAAATGCAAATCCTCCTGCAGAATGACCTTAGGAGGCAATTTAATTGCATGCAGAATTGAAAGTAATCACTCCCGTAGCACAAATAAAACCTGTTGGATAAACACTGAAGCATTTCCACACAGGACTACATTTTAAAATAGCTAACTTTATTATCAGTGAAAAGATAGGCACAAAGTGGATTCAAACCTGCTTAACTTTATTCAAACTAGCTAAATTGATTACAGAATGGGTTCTCAAATTGCTATGGAGTCACATACATTTTAAACCAAAGACAATTCTTTTCTGGCCATCTGTCAACCCCAACTATCCATTTTACAAACACATGCAATTAATCACAAGAGAGGCCAGAGGGAGGTATGATGGCTCTGTGTAACCCATCGTTGCTACCGGAAAAAAATAAACAAACTCCCAACACTTGTCCTACTGATGATGGATGGCACTTGGAAGACACATTTCCAAGGATCACGGCAGGTTGAAAATGGTGGCCATTAGCCCATAGCTGATGCCTTCTTATGAAAACATGTTCAGTAAGAATACACATATTTTAAGTAACACATTCCATATGTGAATGAGCAACTGAGATAACAGGAGATTGTACAGCTAACAAACATGAAAATATAATTTATGAAACATCTGAATACATGTTAAACTTCCACGTTATGTGTTTAAAGTTTCTTTATAAAGAGTAGTCCACACAGTTTATTTTCCTATTATTGTACCCATCCAACAATGTAACAAGAAAAAGAGAATGCGACAGGTTTCTGCGCTTGTTTCCTATGACTTATGATGGCAGGTATTTCAGGTTCTTCCTATTCTGTTATTCTGAAACTCAGAGCAGCATTGAAAATAAATCCTTCATTAATACAATCAAGATAAGAAAGTCTAGACAAATGCTGAAGTTACAATTATTTTATGAAAATTCATTAAGATACATTTTGTATCAATAGTCACTCGGGAAGGACTGTTCTAAAATGAATTTTTTCTACACAGGGGACTTTGGAGGTACAAGTGACTGAGAAGGTCAACAACGACCACCAGGCAATACAAATTAAGACAAGGTCACCCTCCTGTCCTGAGGTGCCAATGCATAGATAGGTGGGAATCAAGAAAAATCCCCCAAATTACATTCTCACACTGGTGAAAGGGTGATTCATCTTGAGTTTTCTCCCATAAACCTGAAATTTTAAAAGGACCCCTATCAGTGATAATTTTTTCAAAGGCTGAATCTGTCTTCTTTTTAAAGATCATACATTGACAAGGGCTTCCTGCAACTATGAGATGTATATTAGCTTTGAAAATTACCTGGGATTAAAACTGACTTTGGTGTGAGGGGAGGAGAGATGTTGTGGAAAATTCAAAACAATTACTTAGCCAAGAATATCCCCTTTCTTCAAAGTACATGAATCTAAAGATGGCTACTGCACAGTGTGGAATGTATTATGATGTCATCTTAAATTAACACCGTGGCTCCCAGAGAGAGCAAAAACTCTAGTAATGTGATATGATCAGGAAAGGAGTAAATAAAAGGTTTATTTTTATTTTTGTGTTATTCATTTGGATCAAATATAGCTCTTCTGAAGTCTCTAAGTGATTGCTTCTATTATCTGGGCTTTTTTCCTTACATAGGAATTAGTATTGAAACAACTGCTTTTTTCCTTTATATTTGAGATTCACTTAATAACTTAGGAGTAATGTGCAGCATGATCACCTAATTACTTAAACCGTTGTGACAAGCTAAAAATCACATCATCCTCCATCTTGTTTACATATATGCGCGCACGCACGCGCACATGCACCCCCCCTCACACACACACATACACACACCTACATTGAAAAGTAGTTAGGAACAACACAAAAATACTGTTGACTATGCCATTCCTCTATTTACAGAGGAACCCTGTAAAATGATCCATGGCAGTCAATCCCATTAAAAGAAGTGAGGCAGATTTCTTGCAGGGAGACCTTTGTTATGACTTAATGTTGAAATAAGGATCAGGAAGGCAAAACCTTGCAAAAGGCACTGCAGGAAGGACAAGATAGGAATTCCTATCCTGGAATAAACCACTTAGTCACCAACATTTTACAAAGTACATTAATTACCCAGACTGTGAAGATGACTTTTCTTAAAATATGGATTTTTTATATATATAAGGGTTTCCCCAAATAAGCATGGAGATTGGCAGAATGAACAACTGTGTTCTATGACTTTGAGAATGTCAGTGATTATTTCCAGGTGTCAGATTCCTCATCATGAAAGTGAGGGACATAGAATACAAGTGACTTCGAAGGGTTATATATTGCTACGATTCCTTCTAGTACTATGCTTAATGACATAACATATCAGCCTATTCTATTAATCTGATTTCTAACTAGCACACCCCCAATTCTCTACTCCCTACTTCTATCTAATACTCCCAACACCTCCCACCCTCCCAATACCCATGAAAACTGATCTTAATAACATTGTCTAGAATTGTCACCTGACTGAAGGGCAGACAGGTAACACAGAGCAGGGACCTATGTCAATAGGCAGCTGTTCTTTGTCTCTAGAGGCTGTCCTCTGGCCAAACCTGGAGCCATAGCCTCCTTGGTCCCTGCCCATGTGTGCATTTCTTGCTGCTTTCCAACAACATTGCAACATGCACTCACTGAGTGTGAGAAGATGTAGCTAAGGATCCTGCTGCAGCCCACCTCTCCACTGACTACAGCATTTTGGGCTTCTGATGCTATTTATTCCCTCGGAGGTGAACAATCAAAGATGCCACTTGAGATGTATGATAACAATATGGGAAAACAAACTGAGTTATTTCCGAGTAGTCACCAGAAATTTGAAGCACTCTACCTGAAAACAAAAATGCCACCTCATTCGGTAAATGACTGGCATTTTGAGACTGGTGACACAGTCAGTAAAATTTGTGCAGAAGAAACACAAAGCAGATCGGTCTTAGGAAAGGCAAGCACACTGTGTAACTGGCTATACACCAACCACAAAAGTCTGCACACAGCACCTCATGCTACAATCCATCAGGCTTCTGATGGCCTAATTCCTTAAGAGAGGAAGCTGTACATCACTCAGCTAATTTACTTTCCTAGCATCTGAGAATAATATATTAATCATCCAAAGGCATAAATTTCTCCCAAGAATATATATGAATGCTTGAACCTCCAGGAGGGAACCAAAAGAATTCACTTCCAAAGCACCACTGAAATGAAGAAATATATAATTCTCTGGCACAGGACAATGGGAAATTGAGAGGGAAAATTAACTCCAGTATGCTTCCATATCCCAATATACACACTACCTTTTCTCTAGCTTACATAGCTCCCCAAACGATTCTCTTTCATGAGCCTAAGGAGAGAGTTCTCTCTGGATGTTGTGTAAGTGGTAACTATACAAAACAGCACATGCACAAATTCTTTCCACCTTCCCACTCTGCACTACATGTTACAAACTGTCTTCCAAACATACTGTGCTCTTCGATGAAAAAAATGACCCAAAACATGAAAATGCTAATCAAATTGAAAGCACTTCAAATACATCGGTGTATACCAAGATATTAACAGTTCGAGTCTTTATATAAATCCCAACAATGAACTTTTGAGCACGTTCTGGTTAACCTGTCTTTAGACGTACTCTCTGAGGATACCAGAAGAGACTGGAGTTTGTACGGCATTATTTAAGTATGATACTGTTTCAACAAGTCCCTTTGAAACATCCCCCAACTCTTGTCCTCACCCTCAAAATAAGAAAAGCAACAAGGAAACATGATTAAAAGCATTCTTGCTTATAAACCACAGCTGTTGACTCGGACCCTCAGATGAGATATTCCACCATTTCTGCGTCAGGTTCTTGTCCCAGGATCTGAATGGGAGCTTTTCTTTCCAGGGTACTGGAGTGGAAAACAGGGCCATCTAAACAGGAAGAAGGGTTAAAATGTTTCAGGGTAAGGTCAAAACTCAGATTTCTAGAGACCCAGATACCACCACCATCCCGTGTAGCCGCCACAGTAAAGTAAAACTTGTCTGCATGCCACCTTGCCCACCTGATCATTTTCCTTTACTCATTCCCATTCCTATTCCAGTATCACTTACACTAGAAATCAATTATACATTCCATCCTTTTCTCCTCTTAACAGGAAAAACTCCCACCAAATGGTCAACTGTGCCTCAACAGTAGGTGCCCAGAAAGTTTGTAAGTCTGTAACTGTACCTCACGGTGATTCATTAAAAATAAACAAATAAATAAATATAAAAAAATAAAAAATCCAAAAAGACATACAACCCACCTGAACCATAAAAGTCAATAATAAAGATCACACATACCGAAAAAAAAAGTAGGTGCCCATAAACCTGTCATTGAGGGAAACACGATGAGGAATAACTATTACCTATTTTGTCTGAATTGCAGGCCAAACTTGGAATAGACAGACGACATGGTCCAGATCCAATTGCTGGACTTGCAGGAGCCTCAGCCTGAGCCAAAGTTGGAGTTGGAGCTGGAGCTGGAGTTGCAGTCGAAGTCGGAGCTGGAGTTGGTGCCTGAGTCGGCGCCGGAGCAGAAGCTTGAGGCGTCGCTGGAGCCGGAACCGGAGTTGAAGCCGGAGCTGGAACTGGAGCCGGAGCAGCTGGAGCAACCTGAACAGCAGCAGCAGCAGCGATAGCAGCAGCAGCAGGAGCAGGAGCTACAGCAGCAGCAACAGCAGAGACAGCGCTTGGAATCTGAGCAGCAGAAGCTGGAGCCACGGCAGCAGCAAAAGCAGTAGCGGCAGCAGTTGCTGGCGATGGGGTGGCAATGGTGGCAGCGGCAGCTGGCGCAGCAGCAGCAACTGGAGCAGCAGCTACCATGGTGGTGGTGTTGCTGGCAGTGGCAGCAGTGATGGTGGCAGCAGTGGCAGCAGAGGCAACTGGAGCAGGAACAGAGATTGGAGCAACAGTTGGGGCTTTGCTGGATTCCGTTCCCCTTTCTGTTTGAGTGCTGCAGTCTCGGCTGCCTGTCTTAGAGTGAGCTGAGAGCAGGGGAGTAGAAGGCAGCACAGGTGAGGGTACAGAAGGAGCAGACTCAGTACGGTAGTCTCCACCCAGGAGAATACCTACAAAGGAAAGATGGAAAGAATTTGTAACTCTAGGTTAGGCAAATAGCACTGTAGTAGCACTGTCCTCCCGTTGTTGCCTGAGTGGGCACCAGTAACAAACATCTCTATTGTGAGACTTGTTATTATTGTTTTTGGCATATCGAATAGGCCTCGGGGAGCTTGTCAGGCTCTGCCGTGCGGACAGAATGCTCTCGGTAGCTTGCCAGGCTCTCCGAGAGGGACGGAGGAATCAAACTCGGGTTGGCCATGTGCAAGGCAAACGCTCTACCTGCTGTACTAGAGATCTGATTATCTGTTCTACCTTGCAAGATGTTCAGGAAAAATTTAAACAAAGTCATTGGAGTCTTTACTTTGGCAAAGGATTATATGCTCAGGCACCTTCCTGTCATGGCAAAAGATTTCTTGTGGCTCCCCTCTACTTCTTATTCTCCAACCTCCAGAACATGTATTAAAACCTCTTTAAGGGGGAACCAGAAGGTAGTGTCACAGTTAGGGCGCATGCCTAGTACTGGGTTAGATTCCTGGCATCATATGTTTCCCGCATTGTTAGGTGCAGCCCTGGAGGCTTCCAGCACCTCAGAGGTATTGTGAGTATCCCCTGCACTATCAGGGTCTAAGTATCACAATATCCTCAAGGGGATTGCATAGAAGACTGAGAATCACCATGGGGGCCCCAGACTACCTAGCACTGCCTGGGAAGTTAAAAAAGGGAAAAAAACTCTAAGTGAAGTGTGCTGGTATTGGTTCTGGTTTCTTTTTCCAATGCTAATTGCATTATTGCATGTTGTCAGAATGCTCCTATTCTGTTACACTTATAACTAACATCATCCATTATCTGACAGCTAGAAGGAATGGGATAAAACAGTCTTTGGAGACAGTTGATAATAACTGTATGATCTAAGGTTTTAATAATGATGACAGTCCACAATATACATTCTCTACCCAAAATATACACCCATGTGTCAGAGGACAAAGAAAGGTAGCATAACAATTAGGTAAAAAATAAAAATACACATAGAGGCTGGAGCAAATAGAACAGCAGGTAAGGTGCTTCTCTTGCAAGCAGCCGACCTGGGTTTGATTCCTGGCATCCCATATGGTCCCCAAAACTCACCAAGAACAATTCCTGAGTCCAGAGCTAGGAGTAATCCCTGGGCATAATTGAAGGGTGTGTCCCCAAAACAAAACAAGCAAACAAACAAAACGATAGCGCTTGCCTCCTCCGACTCTAAAAAACTTGTATATCCATAATATTGCTGGGATTTTTATTAAAGGGGAAGGAATGAAAAGAAAAAACATGTATCTCCTGTTCTCATCTCAGAACACTCGGCACCAAAACCTGACATCCACCTCCATTTTGCTTAAGTACAACTCTGAGTTCTCCTATTATATAGAAAGAAACACCAGAGGGTTTCTGAAGTTTTGAATGACATGAAGACAACACTGGTTTTTAACAAAGGCAAAAGTGTCCCACTGGGCAAAGGCCAGATCTGACAATTTCTAAAAGGAAAATGAAATAATCTCCTTTCCACCCAAGAAGAATTCAGGATGCTTATCTTCTAAAGCCAGGACTTCAACCAACTTTCTGTCAGAAACATATAATTTTTCTAGAATCAGAACATATATGCTTCTAGAAAGGATATACAAATCCTTTCTAGAACCAGAAACATCACTTCTTTACATTGCTCCATGAGCAAACACCTATAATAACAGAGCTCACTTAATATTCTTTAATTATCTAATGTATTACCTAGGCTTCCTTTCCAGCTCTTGTCATCCCGCTTCTCTTCCATGATTGGGGTGCCAGTCAAGGTGGAAGAGTGGGAGAGCAACCCTGATCCAGCATTAGAGATGGACATCAGAGACTTTGCTGGACGCATAGATGATAGCTGTTCTGTCTTACTTGGCTCCTTCCGAGAACGCTGTTGGAGTACTTTGATCATGGCATCCTTTTCAATAATCTGGGCATGAAGGGTTTTAATCCTAGGAGTAAAGACAAAGAACATATAAAGATGATATTCTGGTCTTAATGTATTTAAGCTTCTATTATCTTTTCAACCAAGAGGTCTAACTTTTTCTCAGTTGCAAGACAAGAAACAGAACAATGTTTAGTGCTGTTCTGCATACCCAAATAGACACAGCAGAGTGTCCAGGAGTTGTTTAAACCTTACAAGATGAAGCAAAGTACCGGTGAAGAAAAGGCTGATATACATGAAATGCTGAACCAATATAGTTGGTGCTATTATGAAACACAGTCAATGGAAATAACGCTTTCACTGAAACGAGGTCGCCTATAATGGATCACAATTTTCAAGTAACAAGTAAATATATTTAAGAGACATCATGTGTCCATAAGATAAATCAGGTGTCCTACCTCTCAATTTGAGTGAATGTTATTTCACAGAGCACTCTGCTGTATCACAGAGTTGAGGTGCAGTGCTAGAAAGAGTACTCTAGAGTGCAAATGCCAACAATTCCGTTCCGACAGAATGTAAATGGAAAACAATTACCAATATCAACAGGGAAAGTAATTCTATTTAAAATTCTAGTTAATAAGGTTAATAAGTTTAATAAGTTAATTGATAATTATAATAATATATATTATAGATAGTAATATATATAATAATAAGTTAGTTAATAAGGTTAATAAGGCATCCTCAGTTATGGACCTGAACAGACTGGTAAGAATGGAGGGGTGCAGGGAATTTATATTATCAAGTTTCGCTGGTCATGAGTAAGGATGCTTGCCCTTCCCTACAAACCTATATGGTATCTTATACCCATCGATCAGATTCAACAGGGTCCTGATCAACATTTTACCTTCCCTCCATGTCAAGGCAACGCTTATTAGCCATCAAGATTTCTTCCTCTTCCTTCTGGATACGAGCTTCCAGGGCTGTGTCATAGCTGGTATTAGGAGAGTGGTTGATGATTGTTGTGTCCCTGAAAAAGGCAGAAATTTCAGTGAATCCTACTGTCTCCCTTAGCCAAGGCTATTGCTGGAAATCCCTAAACTGAAATCAAGTTCATCAGCAATTGTTGATTTCTGGGTGACTTCTGATAAAAGCTTTCAAAATGCAGAGACCCATGTTTAGGTGCTAGAAGTTATGAACCTGAACATAGCTGCAAAAGTCAGTTAGGAGTTCTATGAGATATATGCAGGCTTGCCTTAAGAGCAAAACAGATCTCCATCCAAAATCTTCTGGCAGAAAATGCCTTCAAGGGGGCTGTAGCAATAGTACAGCGGGGAGACTGTTTGCCTTCCACACAGCTGATCCGGATTCAATTCCCAGCATCCCATATGTTCCCCCGAGCAATGCCAGGAGTAATTCCTGAATACAGAGCCAGGAGTAACCCCTGAGCATCATTGGGTGTGACCCAAAAAGCAAAAAAAAAAAAAAAAAAGAAAGAAAGAAAACATCTTCAAGTTTTAGATCATGGTCAGGCTACATGAAGATATACATATGCATATTTTATATTATTTATGCATATTTTATATTATTTATGTTACACAAAACATCTTTCCAAGTTATTCCCATGATATTAATAAAATAATAAAGGCTAGAGAGTCAGGGAAAGTACAAAATAGTGACACTACATATTAATATTATGAACTATATCTGAGTATTACAAACATACTATAGAATATCAACAGGTTACATGGTCAGGTAGAACTGTGAATGAGCGAGAAGCAAGGCTTTTAGTCAGTGCCAATTGATTCCTATCTAGCGTTCACCTGAAACTCTGAATCATATCCATGAGTCTACTACCAATGAAGTGACTCTTGTCTTGCCAGAGTCCCGATCACATTAGGGACCATCGTGTGCCAGCTAAAAGTGTCTTAGGCCATTAATTTAAAGACTAAGTAATAAGGACAGAAGGAGGAGGCAAGGAAGGGTAGGGGAAAGTGAAGGAAGAGGAGTGGATCTAGATTATGAGCAAAACTGCTGTCTCAATAGCACAAATTGAAGAAATATAGGAATCCTGTATCCTGATAATGCATAAGGCTATGCTTCCTTCATTTACTTCATTTCAAAACTTGCAGAGGAAAGAGGAAGATAATAAAGGAAACTAGATTCTATTTGTGCAATTTGATAGAGGAAAAAGAGGGGACTAGAGAGAATACTGATGTTATTATACTGGTTTTAAAGGAAATCAGACAATAGACCTAGAAAACAATGAACCAACAACTACTTCATTATACATAAAATGAGAATGAAGATCTCTGGGAGAACTCCAGGCATATTTTTTTGATAGCAGCTAGCTAATTATTTTAGCATGAGGCTGTGACCAGTGAAGATGAGGGTTAAAAAGACAGGGGAATGAGTTTCACAAAATGTTTGCACCTTGTATGCAAAACTGAACAATTTGAACAGTATTAATTGGAAAGAGTAAAGAGAAACAACTATAATGGCTCTCAATTTGTTGAAATCAAAATATTTCTGCATTTCAGGGCTGGAGTGGTAGTAGAGCGGGTAGGGCATTTGCCTTGCACACGGACAAACCCAGGTTTGATTCCCAGCATCCCATATGGTCCCCCGAGCACCACCAGGAGTAATTCCTGAGTGCAAAGCCAAGAGTAACCCCTGTGCATCACAGGGTGTGACCCAAAAAATCAAAATAAAAGAACAAAGAAAATATTTCTGCATTTCTAAATTCTATACTTGCTTATAATTTTACTGGCAATGGCCCAAAGACTCCCAACGAGCCCCAGTGGAAGTAGTATTGTATAGTGTGAGGACCTAACTTCTAACTAAAGATCACATGAGGGTCAAGTTCCATCTTTTCCAAATTCTCTGCCACTAGCAGATTGCTCCTCATACAGAGAAAAATGGAAATAGTAATTTTACCTTTGCCTCATGGGTTTTGGAGGGAGGAGGACAAAATTAATTCTATAGGCACAGTGGTGGTGGGAAATGGGCTCTGGTGGAGGGATGGGTATTTGATCATTGTATAATTGAGACCCAAGCACAAAATTTGTAAGTCTACAACTGTACCTCATGGTGTCTCACTAATAAAAATTAAAAAAAAGAAATACTCAACAAAGTTCTGATTTCAAGGGGGAAAATAGGGAGAAAAATAATAACATGTAAGAGAGTGTTTAAAGAATTTCAGCTCCTGATATAACCCTGGAAGAAATTCCTACAGTGCAGAGTTCCAATGTTATGAATGAGCTTCAGACCCAGGCGAGTCTAAAAGGTGCATAATGTCTATGGACACTGGGGAACTGAGCATAAAGTTTGTCACTGGGGGATGGGAGGGAGAGCCAATGCTGGCTTCCTGCCACTTTCTTTGCATAAAAGATCATTTGGGGACTCAGAGCCTTGCCAGCTAATTGATATGGACACTGAGCTAGCTCCTCAGGAATAGAGTCTGAAAATGTGGGGCACTTAGTGAATCCCTATAGAGATGCCAGTGATCCTCCTTCTAGTACACTGTGGCTACTAAGCCAATAACTTCAACAAAAGCAAAAAATAAGTGTTTGAGGGAACAACTTGATCGTCTGTCTTCTAATACTCTGAAACTAATTTTACTTTCATCAGGAGAGTTGCTGGGGCTCCAAACAAAACCTGCAGTCCCCAAACTCTGTATCTTTGAAATTGAGTTTTCTAACTCAAATTCTGAAAGTACATATTCCGTTAGTTATTCTTCTAGTAATCTATCCTTTCTCTGATGAAGCTATCTCTGTATCACATCACTTACATGATTTTCTAGAATGTCACTCATGATCTCCCAATTGAAACAGTTAGTGTACTTTTAACTTCAAGAATATATTTTCCTATCAGTAGCATCCTGTTCTTTATTGAATATGTGAACTCAACCTTGACAGCAGCATGTTTAAAGTTGCCATAAGTTGCTAGAAAGTACACTTACATGAGTAAAACCAGTCCTTAGCTATAGAAAATGCACAGATAAATAAAAAAGTAAATAATTAACTACTGCAGAAGTTAAAAGGTTGAACTTTATTCCAATAGGCTCTAAAAACTGTTAAGAGTTCTTCAAGAGTGAAATTACGCAGGCCAGATAATTTCATCATAGGTCACAATCTGGTGTCTCATTGTCCTTCTCTCCAGGAAAGGTAGCATAACACGACACACACCATAGCCATGCCGTCTGACCCCACGCCAGGCTGTTCATTCGGACAGCCCGGAGGGGGGTGGGTGAGACACCTCTCCACCCCTAGGGACCCAGAACCAGCAGCTGAAAACCTCCAGAACTCAATGGCTGCCCGGCTCACGGCTACTCTCCACACGCTCAGACTGAGCCTCACCCACAGTGAAGGTATTCCTGGACCTGTGACCATGAGACAACTGATACCTCACACCACCAAAAGTACAGCACCACATTTGATGGGGTTTAAAGTAGGAGGCAAGCAGTCTTAGAGGGAAATATTTTTTTACATACACACACATATGTATGTATGTATATAAGCACACAAGGCTCAACCTTTAACAAGATATTAGTGATCTCTTCTAGAAGGGCTTAATGGCCCCTGGGTGAAACAAAACAATCTTCACACTGTTTCCTCTAAGGAAACATTTTTGGAGCATTTTCAGCATTTTTTATAACAAACAAAATAAATTATTTTGGTTCTGCTTTGGGGCAGGGGTTGGGGTTCAGAATGGAAAAATCTGAAATATGGTGGTGGGAAGGTCTAATGGTGGTGGGATTGGTGTTCAAATATTAAATGTAACCAAAAATTGTGAACTATTTTATAAAGAGAAAGAAAGAAAGAAAGAAAGAAAGAAAGAAAGAAAGAAAGAAAGAAAGAAAGAAGAAAGAAAGAAAGAAATCATGCAAACTGTGTTTTAGGAAGATAGCATTATCTCTTGCTAAAGGTGGTAAAGGAATTAGATGAACAATACACTGGAATCAGCCAGGCTCAATTAGAGGTTATTATAATAATCCCAGCAAGAGTTAATGAAAACACAAGCCAGTGAAGTGGCAAGGAAAATGGAAATAGGATATAGGAGACAGAACTGTTAAAACTTGAGAAACAATGTAAGTATGAATGTCACGGAGAGGGGAAAAAATAAATGAAAACTTGGTTGTGTCTAACTCATATGGCAAGAAAACATGGCATACCATTCATATTTTGTGGTAAGAAATTGAGAAAACATTTTTGAAGAAACTTTATAATGAGTTATGTTTTAGATTATATTTGCAGTTAAAGATCCTTATTAATAGTCATGGTATTTTCTAATGAGTTGTTGAAAATTCTTTTATGTTAGAGATATCAGTTACTATTTAAAATTGTAATAGAGCACAAGATGATTAAGACATAATGTTAAATGATAAAAGCCTATTATGAAGGAATAATTATGTGTAACAGGTATAAACAGAAAGATTCTATCTTCTGCTGTCCTTTCCTTCATTTCCTTCACCCAAAATAAAAATGAAACATCACACATTCAGGAAAGTAACAGCCTGATTCAGTAAATACAAATTAATAAACTGAATGACTGATCAAGTATGTTAACTTTTTGACCTCCTAGCAAAAAAACCCAAGGTTGGGATATTTCCTTCAGTAAAAAAATGACCCCACATCCCCTTTCCAGTGTTAAAGAGTTTCATGACTAATCTTTGAACAAGTACTAGGTACTGACATTTCCTTTGGAGCTAGCAGTTACACATAATTTAGTTCTAAATCTGCTACAATCTTCTTAACCATCTTTTAGCATGGCTGGGATTTCCATGTCATTTATTATTACACTGACATGTAGTGAGATCACCTTTCTAAAAATAAATAAATAAATAAATAAATAAATAAATAGATACACTTCATTCAAATTCAAGGTGGAGACAATTTCGGTCCATTTAAGACTTATATAGAGAGAGCATATCTGGAGATGGGGCATATTTAAAAAAAACATAAAATTGCATTTTGGAAAACAGTCAATGGCCACCAGCCTGAGTCTTAAGCACTGACCTCCCTCAGATTTGACACAAAAAAGACTCAAGTTAATGTATCCACCATCCCTTCTCCACACAAATTCCAACTCCAAATATTGTAAGAGCATCAAGTCTCTGCCAGCTCACCAAGCTTAGGAAAATGTTAAAAAGCACACTGTCTTTTAAAGTTACTTTCTACACAAAAATCTGTGGGTGCAGCGTGTTATCTTCCAGCTTAAGATACCAAACTCCAAACCAAAACTCTATCTGTATCACTAACAAACTATGCTTTGTATCAATTTGGATTTTTTTTTGCTTCTTTCCACATGACAATTATAAATATAGAAAGAGAAATTGGCTGAGAGCAATGTCTCTCCTTCAATGTCCAATTATTAATGTTTATAATATATAAAAGAAGATAAAAGAAGCAGAAAACGGAAAAGTTCCTCCTACCACTTTCTCTCCCTTACCAAAATGAGTATAATTGCTTACACTCAATGGACTCAGGAACAAAGAAATGTGGCCCACATATCACTTTTTTCTCAAAAGGCAGGGATGGATTTATGTTTAGCATAGCCTTTGATAATTAACTAGATGAGCTAGAGCTATCAATTGGCAGCAACCACAGTAAAATTTTGTTTCTGTGGAATTTCTCTGGAGAGGCTTTCACTCCAGGTTTAAGGCTAAACAGAAAAACCTACATACGTGGGTAAAAAATTCTGTGATTCTGATAAATGAAGTATACAGATGTTCATTTAATTCCCTCTGTAATTGTTCTGGCTTCTGAGGAAAACTTGCCTATGCTTCCAGTGATGTTCATAGCAACTTTGAGTTTCAAATTCCCAGCCCTCCTTCCCCACAACGAAGCAGTCACTGCTTAAATCAGATAAAATAAAACACACTTCAGCATAAACCATGATTGGGGACACTAAAGATAAAACCCCTCACACTGACAATCTATTAATTATGCACATCTGATCTCCATCCCACATCCAAGCAATGACTCTACCAGCGAACTACTTACCGCTGAGCAGCTACAGTTGCAGCAGCATCCAAAGCAAAGTGTCTCATCACATTCTCCTCCAAATACTTCTGCTCCCACTTAGTCATATCAGCTTCTAGGGCTAGGATCCTCTCCTCCTTCTCACGAAGGAGCTCCATCAGGGCAGCGGCGTTGTATTCAGAAACATTTGTGGGCTGAGAGTTGCCCTGGCGCTGTTAAAGGAGAGAGATAACATGAGTCCTCAGGTTAGACAGGCTGATGGGTGCTGAGTCCCATTTGAAGAGTTCCTACCCTCAGAAAGGGTTACTGCCAACTTGTATCAATTTGAATCCTGATTCAGAAGAAACAGGACTTGGGGTTTTTGCTATCTTAGGCATGAATATGAGAAAAGGAGCTTGCTGGATCAAATGGCCCTGCTGCTCAGGGCTTGAAAACCACCATCCCTGCATGCCAGCATGGTCCACAACAAAAATCAGATGAAAAATCTACTACTTGTGGGCTGGAGCAATGGCATAGTGGGTAGGGTGTTTGCCTTGCATGCAGTCAAACCGGGTTCCCAGCATCCATATGGTCCCCCAAGCACCTCCAGGAATAATTCCTAAGTGAAGAGCCAGGAGTAACCCCTGAGCATTGCCGGGTGTGACCCCAAAAGCAAAAAAAAAATCTACTACTTGCTTTCCTTCTAGCCCCAAACTTGTCACATATCCTTAAATCAAACAGCTCTTCTGTGTTTTGGGTTTCTCTCATCCCTCAGATGAAGAAGGGTATGGCAAGATAATTCTAAACTCCATTCATTTCCGATTCTATAAGTCTATGTATAGCATATTCACTTTTTGTACAGTCTATTGTTTATGGAGTTCATATGAAAATCAAGGTACAAGATAGGGGGCTGGAGCTATAGTATTCTCCTTGCACGCAGCTGACCTAAGTTTTCTCCCCAGCATCCCATAGGTCCCTCCAGTACAGCCGGGAGTAATTTCTGAGGGCAGAGCCAGGAGCAAACCCTGATCACTGCAGGGTGTGGTCAAAGGACCAAAAAAGGGGTACAGGACAATAACAGGCATTAAGGACTTTGCTAAAATAGGAGGCTAAGGAAACGTGTTTCAACTTTACTAAGGGGAAGCGCTTTGACATAAGGTCAGGTAAGGAAAGAGATGTAAAGATAAGCAAGAGATCAGTTTTTGCCTCTTGTCAATCATCAACAAAATGATCAAGAACAAGCTCATTTTCTTCCATTTTTCCATACCTGCTGAATTCTGAGGGATTCCAGTTCCCTCTCCAGTCTTGTCCGTAGACGGTGCTCTAGCTGCTCACGTTTTTCACATGCTGTCTGGAGCTGAACAAGGGCCTGCTGCATCTTCTCCACCTTATCTACATACACCTGCTTCTTTTTCAGCTGAAAATCCACATTGGCAAAGTTGCAAGAAGGAAAAAAAAAGATTAACAGACTGTTATGTAGTTTCTATTCCAGTATTGCATTTAGATGGCTTCATGTCTCGTTCCAAAACAGAATGAATGGTGAGAAGGTCCTTCATGCTGCTTTTTGTTATCGTTTAGACACAGTAGGAGGGATAAGAATTTGGGGCCTCAATTTGTAAGTCTACAACTGTACCTCATGGTGTTTCACTAATAAAAATTTTAAAAAGAGAATTTGGGGCCTCATCATCCTGTTTCTCCATCTCTGTTTACCTGAAGTCTGTTTTCAACATCACAGTATTCTTGGATAGCAAATAAATAAAAAACAGGGAGTTCTCTTGGAAGAAAAGTTTAACTTGGTATAAAAAGAAGGCCTACTCCTCTCCAAGTGAGAAGAAAAGAGTTGTCAGTTGCTAAAGGTATAAGCAGACCCGCATTGTAGTTCTGAAGAAAGTGCTCCTGATAATTATTCAACAGAGCCATCACTGCTCTCCTGAAAATTTCCTGCTACTCAAAATTAAAGCTATATGGAATGGTACAAAAAGTGTTCTGTCTACTCACTGACCAGCAATGCTCTGAGAGTTCTTTTATTAAAAGGACAGGTTAAGAAAATGTAGTAAACATGCAAAATGTTTATGCATTATCAACTATAAAGATAAAATCCTGAGTCACAGCTATAGTACAGTTGTTAGGGTGCTTTTCTTGTATGTAGCTGACCCAGGTTCAATCCCTGGCACCAAAAGTGGTCTCCAGGGTACACCCTAGATAATCCCTGAGCACAGAGCCCGGAGTATGCCCTGAAAATGACCAGGTGTAGCCGAAACACCCCCGCCCCAAAGCTGAAATGTCTTTTTCAACAGCATGCATCTATCTAGAGGTTATTATGCTAAGTGAAATAACCTATCTAGAGGTTATCATGCTAAATTGGATGAAGAAAGAGAAATACTGTATGATTTCACTCATAATACAAAGTTATCTTTGTATTAAAATTTACAAAAACAAAACAAAAACCATACTCTTAAACAATAAGGACAAAATGGCAGAATGTTGGCTACCAGATGGGAAGGAAAAGTAGGGTGGGTAAACTGGGAAAAAGGGATCACCTGCATCATGATGTATGAAAACTAAAATTCTGGTAGCGAACATGCTGATTTATAAGTTTGGGCACCTAAAACCTATGATGTTATACACCAGCTACTTCAATTGAAAAAGAAAAAGGACGCGAGTTGTTTGCAATTTCTGTAGACTCCTGAAGTTGATCAAAGTGAAATATAACCTCTTAATATCCATTCTGGAACACTGAAAGATCCCTAACATCTCAAACAAATGAATCAAATCTCAGACTAAATTACTTAAACATGATACTTCCTCTGTGCAAGTCTATGCGCCATATCCAAAAGTAAGTAAACACACAATGGGACTGAGAATTTAAGTTCTTTGTGCCTTATAACTTACAAGTCAAATCTCACCTCTATGACAATGAAACACTGAATAGAATATAAATCACTTTAAAGAACAGATAAGAGGAACAAGAGAGGAGGACCAAAGGGCTGGAATGCTTCTTTGTAAGCAGGAGCCCTGGGTTCAATCCCTGGCAACACATCTTCCCCTGAGCACTGCCAGGGAGCAACTTCTAAGAAGCATGCTGACTGTAGCTCCCAAGCTAAAATACACAATTAAATAAAAATAATGAATCAGGGTTGAAGAGATAGTTCAATAGGCCAGAGCACGAGCTTTGTATATATGTAGCCTGAAAAATAATGTTTGGCTAGATATTAAGGCACTTGTCTGGCATGTGATTTATACAGTCTGGATCCCTGGAACTGCATATGGTCTCCCAAACGCTACCAAGAGTGATACATGAGCAGAGTCAGGAGTAAGTCCTGACTCTAAGGTAGGGCTCAAAAGCTATGGGATAAAATAAAATTTAATAAAAATTAATTTTAAATTTGTATTAAAGAAGAGAGGGCATACATACCTTCAACCTGATAAGGAAAAAACTTTCTTGTTAATAAAAATGCAGAATATGTTTTTTCTAATATTTGCCAGATGCCTCTCTTGCTAATAAAAATCAACTCATGAACTTCTCTAAAGCATAAATCCATCCAAATTAGTCCCATCTATCGCCATCATTTTATGGAAGCTGAAGTTAGAAATACTTTCACCACTGGTATCTAAATATGGAAATATTGTCAGCAGTTTGGTCAAAGGAACATTCAGAAATTTCATTCAACTCTAGTTTTTGTCTGTCTTGGCATCATACCCAGCAGTGCTTGGAGCTACTCTAAGCACGGTGTTTAACAATGGCTCCTAAAAGTGCTCAAGGTGCCATGCAATCCTGAGAATCGAGCATGGGCTTCCCACAAGCACAGTAAGTGTTGTACCACTGAGCTATATCCCTGATCCCTTAAGTTTTCAACAAACTCCTAAGGCCTTGAGCATTCTTGGTTGATAGTGGCAATTCATCTCACTAACATTACCCATGCAAGTTTAGTTAGGCCAACTCAGGAGGACCAAACTGATCTCTCATTGCAGAAATTAGGTAACACCTGATTAGTAATGAGCCCAAATCACTGCTATCTGTAATGCCCAGACAGCAATTGCATCAGTGATGCGCAAGCTCTTTGTTTTGTAAGTGCACCTCCCAAAAGTAAAATTACCAAAACTTCTCTAAGTGGAAAAAAATCTCTTCTTTTTCCATAAGATTTATGGTATGTCTTGCATTGGTGACAGGGGACATGAGACTTAAAAATAAATTTTCTGTATTTTTTACATTTCTTTTCATTTCAAGCGCTACTTCAATCTATCCTACTAAACCAGTTAAGTTTTAAATCTAGATGCTCATTATATATTTTCCTAGGAAATAAAACAAAAAAGAGTCATTCTATTACTCTCCATAGGTACCTATGTTTACCTTTGTTTCCTGGTACTGTGCCTATTTATAACAACATTCACTAGGACAATCAAAACCTTTTAGGCAACTGATGTTTTCTGCCTTCCTGTTTGCTAGGCTTTGAATAACTGGAAAACAAAATCTATCCCCAGTACTTCACCTTTTAAGTTCCATAATCCCCAAGAACTATTTCAAGTCAAATGTACCGATTTGTGAATTATTCCACAAAACTCAGGGGAGCAGGGCAATGTTAATGCAGAGTGTTAACTGTAATTACTGAGGCTTACAGCAGTTGAATATACTTAAAGGCAAGTAAACATAAAAAGGTATGCAGTTTTGGCCTTGATGTAAACTGCTGCAATGTTTGAAAAGTCACATTGAAAAAAATAAGTCATCCAGGACTAGCTGGATTGATCTTTCTTGAGAAAAAAACTCTATGCCTTTACAAAAAAAGGATCCCCAGGAGAAAAAGTGACGGAGTCAACTCTCTGGAAGGAAAAAACTATACAGACCTAGGAAGCTTTCTGAGTTGGTTGGTAATAGAAGCACAGGTGAGATGACTTCCAGAAAACAAATAAGCAAATTTTCATTATGTTTGCCACTAGAATGATTCATCAGAAGGTTCCAAGACCACTGCTGTCATAACTCTCCAACTTCTTTCGAAAGTAGGGAACAACTTGGCTATACATACAAGGATCACCTGATAAACATTTACTCCTTAGGTAAGTATGACAGAAATGGGTAATTCTTGAATACAAGTGAAATTAATGAAGTCAGCTATCTTCTAAGTAGCATACTATAGGTCTTCTAGGTCTCATCTATAATATGCAGACAGTACTGAGCTATTTTTTTTCTTTTTGGGTCACACGCGGCAATGCACAGGGGTTACTCCTGGCTCATGCACTCAGGAATCGCTCCTGGTGGTGCTCGGGGGACCATATAGAATGCTAGGAATTGAACCCGGTCAGCTGCATGCAGGGCAAATGCCCTACCTGCTGGGCTATCACTCCAACGCCCCCAGTACTGAGTTTATATATGTCTATTAGCTCCTCTTCTATGTTGGAATCTATAAATAGTTTCATTTTTACCCACACCTTAATACATCTCCTTTTATCTTCTGTGCTAAGCTTTTCAATTATTAGAATGGTGATTATGACATCATGAAAACTGATTATAATATTATTATAAATATCAGTTGTTCTTTTATTCTGTTTGTTTCCTGAACACATCCAGCTGTGCTTAAGACTTCTCATGGCTCAGAGGCTCAGGGATCACTCCTGGCAGTACTTGGGGGAGCAATACGCAGTGTGGGAGATTAGAGATTAAACCAGGGTGCCCCTCAGTTGTTCTTAAGTGGAGAGGCCATATTGTAAAACTATTAAAGTCATAAGCTCAGGCCAAATCTCTGCTTCTCATTAGTTATGCAACCTTAGGCTAAGTACTTAACTCCTCATCAATTAAGCTTTTCATCAATAGCATGGATATGATGATAATGGATCTACTTCTTTGAAGATTAAATGAGAATAAATGAAGTGCTCAGTAAGGTGTCATGCACAAAAATTACTCAGGGGTTTTTTTTTTCTTTTTGGGTCACACCCAGTGATGCTCAGGGGTTACTCCTGGCTCTGCACTCAGGAATGACTTCTGGCGGTGCCCAAGGGACCATATGGGATGCTGGGAATCGAACCTGGGTCAGCCACGTGCAAGGCAAATGCCCTACCCGCTGTGCTATCACTCCAGCCCCCAGGGTTTTTCTTTATCTTAGACAAAGTTAATGTCAATTAACGTATCTTATAGCCTTCTCCACTTTGAACACTTAACTCTACAAAGGTTATCATAATAACAGTACCTCTAATATTTCTATCATTGGTATTTGGGGGCGGCCTGGAGGCACACACGACAATACTCAGGAGGCTATGCCCTGCTCAGTGTTCGAGGTCACTCACAGCAGTGCTTGGAGGATTATGTGGTGACAGGGATCAAACCTGGATCTCCAGCATATAAAGCAAGGGCTCCATACCATAAAATTATTTTTGTGGCCCAAATTTTCTTGTCAATTTCTACTTGAAATATGAAAAACTCAGCAC